TGTGTCTGTCCCCGATATAATAATTGTTCGTGTATTGTATTGTTAATATTTTAAAGATATTGGTGTATATATATATATATATATATATATATATATATATATATATATATATATACTGCTGATAATGAGATCAGATATTGGTAATATGCTCTCAGAATATGTCAGTTGGATAAGTGTAGTAAATAAATATGACGGCTGTTTTTTTTCTGGCCAGATGTTGCTTATATATATAACTGTATTATTATTTGGATATTTTCATACAATTCATTCATTATTTTATAAGGGGCATTACAATTAATACACTACACATATTATTAATTGAGTGACAATGTTTAGTGTTTGTCCTGTTCCAGTTTGTTTCGATATGTTGCTATATTAATATTATTTTAGGAACTTTCAGTTTAGGAGGGACATTGAGGTGATACACGATACAATACACGAGGAACATTAATATTCATTTTTTTTTAAATGTTCCAACCTAAATTTTACCCATTATTTCCGCGCAAAATATTTGAATACATTATTGGCCATGCACAAATAAGATCGTACTAGTGTACGAGTGTGAGCGTATCCATCCATCCATGTGTGACCGGTCTGTCGTCGGTACTTTGGACTTTTGCTATCAAATGGGTTAATTTGGGGAATCCGATTGGGGTATACTATGCGTGGATAATTTCGGGAATTAAACTCGCTTACAAGAGGTATTTTTGGATATATACACACACTCCAATTACGCAAGACAGTGAGTACATCGAATTATGACGTTTCAAATATTTAGTAAATAAAATCAATAAATCACCATTACTACTAAGTTCCCTGTTCAAAATAACTAAAAAGGGGGCTATGGGAGCTCTTCATTTGCCGTGTCTTTTTCCAGTCTCTTCTTCCAACCCTTTCCTTCCAGTTCACTCTCTTCCGTCTATCTCCTCCTTTTTTCTCCCAAACCGGGCTTCTCATCCGTTGCGCGATTCCTTTGTCATTGTCATTCAAATCAGTTGCGCAATTGACGCATAACCAGATTTACGCCCTCACACGTATTATGTGTGGACGTGAATCGGGTACACATGCATCCATCGATTTATTATGTAATCGAGATTTCCAATGTGCAAGGTTGTAACATAACTGTTAAGCTAAGTTTAATAATTATAGTTCTTGTTCGAATCCACAAACACTATTCAACATCCCACAACTCGAAAATTTATTATTATGCGATCAATATTATTTATATTATTTATAATAGTTGTCTGGTAAAACTATATGCAAATTATTTCTCATAATACAATTTATTTCCCATACCGTATTAAAAATATGTTTGAAAAAAAAAGCAAAACACGAAAAGAAAGAATGTACAATTTTGACTGCCCGCTCCTTTGTGAAATTTAATAAATATAGTCGTCATCTGTTTTGCCGATTTACTCCATGCAGAAAATTCTAACGCAACTTTAATTTTCAAAAAATAGGACACACTCAAGCATTTTTCATAGATCGCGACTTTGCTGTCGATGTTCGGCCATGCTAGCACCCGGTTGCCGCGCTACTGGACAACAACGCCCTCCGGTGGTTCCGGCACTATTTTTAAATTGTTAAATATGATTATTTTTTCAGTACGTTTTACTGTTCAGTTAATAGGCCCCCTCCCGCCGGCTGCAGTAATTTTACTGATTCTCATGTTTCCGTTGGGCTAATTACAAGTTACTTGTTTTCATTCGAATTTCCATACAACGAGTAAACATCCTTAAATGCATACAGGGTTATTAAAACCACCCCCCCCGCTTTTCTTCTAAATAGTGCTCCTTTTTTTCTTTCGTATTGTCTACTGTGTCCCTGACTTACTACTATGTAACCACTGATTACGGATTTAAAACAGTATACAAAGGTGCAATAACAAGTCTCGTTCAGATCTCGCTCTCAGCGAGATGTCAGCTGTCATTTGCGTATACGAGTTACAAGGAGAGTGAAGCAAAGTCAACACATCGATTGTGCAACACTTTCAGTGCTTGCCACCGTTATACCTAAAAAAAAGCTACTGATTTGAAACAGTATATGAAGATGCAAGAACAAGTCTCGTTCAGATCTCGCTCTCAGCGAGATGTCAGCTGTCATTTGCGTATACGAGTTATAAGCAGAGTGAAGCAACGTCAACACATCGATTGTGCACTTTCAGTACTTGCCAGCGTTATACCTAAAAAAGCTACTGATTTAAATGGAGGTATTTAAAGGGCGGCAGTCGTCGTGCCGCGTCTTGTTCGATATGGGACTCATAGCGACGTATACAACGCGTGTAAAATACATTGTTTATTTACATGAAATTCGAACACGCGCTGCGCGACGACCACCGCGCTTTAAAATATCACGATTGAATAATATTCTCGTTTACGCCCAGGTCACCAAAGAGAACCAGATGCAAAGATTGTGGAGTACGAACGTGGAATACATCCCAAAGACTTCTGGGAAAACCATGTAAGCAAAAGTCGCCCTCTGGTGTTCAGAGGTGGAGCAATAGGGTCTCTGGGCGTGAAACTGTGGAGCGACGAATATCTTAATAGAACGTGAGACTATTTTCTGTATATTGCTTTCTCAATCCATCACATATTCTAATGTTGTAAAACACTAGATTTTGCCATCATCTTTCCTCCCAGAGTTTCTAATGGTCAGCCCCTTAATCTATATTTTCAACAGGTATGGCGACTTAGATGTGATAATTGAGCGGAAAGTTGAGAGGCGCCCTCAAATCAAGATGCGAATGACATTCTCTAAATTTCTCGAAAATTACGAAGAAAGAAGCTGGTACGTGGTTTCATTGTTACCTGACGAAATGCGACATGAAGTCGAGGTAAGTCACGTACCCTACATTTGTTGAGGCGGAGAATCTGAGAGGAAATGTACTTTCAGCACATGCCACTATTGAAATTCAACTGAAGTCTACTTGCGCCCTCTGCGTTGTATACCAAAAAAACTAAAAGTAACACTCAAACTAGATACGAATGGCACTTCATTGAGGCGAACTTTAATACTTATATTTCAAGCTGTGTAGTAAATGATGTCTATGCACCCGGATTTGTTGACATCTTTAGGGGTATCAGAGAGCGTGAAACATTTTCTCCTTTTCCCTTCATGTTATGCTTTGACGCTCTAGCTCAACCAGTAGAAGTGATAGCAATGTGAATTGGATTAATAAAGGTAAAACAGAAATAATAATATGGTAGCATGCTGACGATACGTATCCATCTCTTGATTTACGAAGAGTATTTAGTGTGCTACGTTTTTTCCTGAAACTTTCAGGTATTTGGGTAAATAATGACAAAATGTATCTGTATAGGATTAAAGGAGGGGTCAACGGAAATGATATGGCAGGATTTGGACTTGGTGTGGATAGATAATTCTTTTGAATTGAAATTACTCTTTTTTATGGATCTGAAAAAATAATAATTACAATTTTCATAAACAAATTAAAAAACCTACTCAATATGGGAAGAAATACACATAGCAAATCTATTTGAATATCAATTTCACTTACTTATTTTCATTCTTCTCGGAACTACATGCTATTAATTTAATTAACAACTGAGTGTAATGCAAAGACAGATCATAATTAATGGCACTAATTACGAGGGCCCGAACGAGCATTTATACTCTTTTAGTAAATTTTGGTCGAAATGTGGCATAAATAATAAGAATATTCAAGTTGCTAAATTCATTTTAGTAACTTATCTTGGAAATAGGAAGGAGTTTTTGCTTAAAAAGCAAGCATCAATAAGCAACCCGTTCTGAAGGAAACTGACAGTTATTTGGATATCAACTACATCAGAGCCTGTTAATGTTCGACAATTCCTCAACGAAACCTTCTGGAATAATAACTACATAACAATAGGAAAATCGCCGATGCTTTTGCGCTACTGAAGGGAAAGAACGTCAATAATTTATTTAAAACTGGTGGATAGTTTTATTTCTCTCTGCGAATTACAAATAAATGAAAACAATGAGTTCGAAAATTTGATAAAAGCAAAGATAAATAATGATCTAACAATTTTCCAATTGGCAAATAAAAAAAATAGATGAAAGATATATTATATCAACTTGTTGCTAGAAATAAAAAAAATAAACAGTGGTATTGCCGACATGCCATGAAAAACAACGCATGTAAAATAAAATACGACGCCTTCGCCATTTATTCTGGCGGGAAAGTGGTTTATATCACTCACAATATACTACAAACGAGATATCAACTAAATCGTATACAATCCTTGCATGAATAGACGTATTCATTTTTGTATTTTTTACCTGAAGGTTTAGAGGTTTGGAGTTACTATTTAGACAACCATATTTTGATATACTATGCAGGATAGGTACCGGGTAGATTCTCATTCATGGGACTAAGAACCAGTAGTAGTCACGAGAAATCCCACCGTGCAATATAACAGAATACAGACGTTTTACACATCGTATACTTTATTTTCAGGCACAACAGTGTTTGATGTGCGGAAATTTTCAAAAAAATCTTCAGGAATTAAATTTTTGGATGAGTAGCGGCGGCACTGCGTCTATCATTCATTTCGACGCAGACCATAATATTCACTGCTTGCTAGCCGGCAGAAAAGACTTCATAATGATCGACCCTGTTTATAACGAGTACCTAAATTTGTACAAGGTGAGTCTTGAATGTATTGCGTCCGTAACAGACCATTCGCGTGCTTCAGTGTCACGTGATATCAGGCACGTTATAACATCCACCATAATTCTTATCTATCCTCGTTCGCGGTTCTCTGTGTTATACACATATACACAACCTACTGTAGAATACTTAATTTTCGCTTGGAATTTTCGCTGAAAGGATGATTCCGTGAAAATAAAATCCAGCGAATATACTTTTTTCCCTATATTTCACATTCTGCTCGTCAAAAATCAGTGAAAATAAATTTGATACAAAACACCCAAAATGCCTTTTCAGCGAAAATTAATTCCAACTAAAATAAAGTATTTCACAGTATTTCGTCGCAACGCAAGCAAGTCATTTGTGATGCGCGTATGCACGAACGAGCCTAAAAAATGATGACGTATCTGGACTAAATCTTGCGCGCACCAGAAATCCCCAATAACATATAAAGCAACAGTTTTCCCTATGTGAGTGATGTTGTTTAACACACTTGTTGTTTAAAATGTTGCTACGAGCAAGGAACTATTTTTTTTCAGGGATGGCCATTGCTTATACTATAATGATTTGATAACTGGGCTTAAGCCATTTTTGAAGACATCTGAAAACCTTTTTTTTAGCTTCAATCACCGGAGTGGTTTGTCTATAACCCCGTAATATTTAAGTTTTAGTGATAAATCCATATACAGAAGATATATTATATATAACTAAAAAACATCGTGTTTTTTATCTCGCTTATCCAGCCAGAAGAAGCAGGCTCAGCGTACACGTCAATCAACGTAGATGCCGTTGACATGGTAAAATTTCCTGAAATACGGAAAGTTCAATGGACCTGGACAACTCTCCTCCCAGGTGACTGCATCTTTATCCCTGGCAAGTACGTGCACCAAGTGAGATCGTATGGACGTAGCATCTCGACGACGACGCTGTTTACAACTCACGGTGTGTACAACGATACAGATTGTGAAGGATTCTCCCCCAAATATGCAACCATGGCCGACATGGACATATTCTGGACTTATCACAAAGGACAAAAGGTTGGTAATTTCATAATAATAGAGGCCATCAACATCGATGTATAAATGTAACGACTATGTTTAATGACTTCGTGATCTGTGAAGAAATAATGATATATATATATTTCAGTCGTCAAAATAAGAAAAATGCCAGGGTGATATAACATAATAAAGGGTTAATGTTCTATATTTATTTATGTACGTTTTAATTCGTGATCACGTGATGGTTGCGTGATGTGCCATAATCATTACACAACTTTAGCTACTGTAAAATACTTTATTTTCGCGTGCAACTAATTTTTGCTATTTTCGCTGAAGGAATGAATCAGTTAAAATAAAATCCAGCGAATATATTTGTTTCCCTATATTTTACATTCAACTCGTCAAAATTCAATGAAAATAAATTCCATACAAAACACCCAAAAAGTATTTTCAGCGAAAATTAATTCCAGCTGAAATAAAGTATTTTACAGTAACATAGCCGTCATGAATTTCATTAGGGAGTTTCAGCCAATCAAATTACCGCTGAGATTATATGTGTAGGCCTAATAAGTATTCAGTGTGTTCTAGAACGATTTTGGCCAATTCAAAACAGCCGTGATACGATACACGTTCTATCATCATTCGAAACTATTATACAGCACGGGTCGATGGCAAAAGTAGTTATTTTGTCCCAATGATCCAGAGTCTAGCATATTAAAGCGAAGGAGTCGTCACCTGCGCGTGCGTCAGATCGACATAGCGTGTCGTTGTTTACCAACAAGCA